GAGATCCCCGTCCTGCGGCCGTCAGCCAAGGAGTTCCACGACCCGCTCGTCTACATCGAGTCGGTGCGCCCTCAGGTGGAGAAGTACGGCATGTGCAGGGTGATCCCGCCCCCGGACTGGCGGCCCGAGTGCAAGCTCAACGACGAGATGCGCTTCGTCACGCAGATCCAGCACATCCACAAGCTGGGCCGGCGCTGGGGCCCCAACGTGCAGCGGCTGGCCTGCATCAAGAAGCACCTCAGATCTCAGGGCATCACCATGGACGAGCTCCCGCTCATCGGTAAGGCCCCGCCGCCCGGCCTCCTTCCCCGCACCCAGGCCCGCATCCCGCCGTGTGCGCCCCGCCCCGCCCCCAAACGAGCTCCTGCTTCTCCGGCCGTTCTTGGCCCGGGAGGAGTCCCAGGCCGCCCTTCTCTGGGTCTCGGGGCTCCGGGCAGGAGGCAGGTGGGCCCTGTCCCTTTCCCCTGGAGCCACAGGGTCTCCTTACTGAGGCCAGAGCCGTGTCCAGAGAGTCAGGCAGGAACACTGTCCCATACATGCGGCTGCTGGGCCGCCTTAACTAAGTACAGCGGCGGGGAGGCTTGACCTCCAGGAAGTTCCTTCTCACAGCCTGGAGGCTGGAGATCTGAGCAAGGTGTTGGCTGAATGGCTTTCTCCCGTGGCTCCTCCCCTTCGCTGGCGTCGGCCGCCTTCTCCTGTGTCCTCACACGGTCTTTCCTCTGCGCGGGTATTCCTGCTATCCCTTCCTCCTTAGGCTAGGACCTACCCTGATGACCTCATTTGACCTTAATTACCTCTCAAAGACCCTGTCTCCAGTCACACTCTGAAGCACTGAGGTTAGAACTTCAACACAGGGCTCTTTTGGGTGGGGGGACATTTCAGCGCATTTCTCTCTTTCCTCATTTTCCCTTGGCTCCGGGAATGTGTGTCAGCTCCTGAGAGTGGGCTCAGCTCTGGCTGGTGCTGATGTAAAGCTCACCTCAGGGACTCCTTTTGTGCACGTACGCTGGGCGTTTGGAAGACCCTGGCCCCAGGCAGCCCTCCTGGAAGCCCGCTGCCCTCTTCCTCTCCTGGTTCTCACACCTTCTGGGTTGACTCGCTCTGGCCGAGATGAGCCAGTTCTGCGGAGTGGGGTTCCTTTTGGGTCAGCCGGTGAGGTCACGTGCTTCGTGTCCGGCTCTAGACCCGCGACAGGAACAGGGCCTGTCCTGCCTGCGGTTTGGAGAGCCTGACCTTTCAGAGGCA